TAAGTTTCCCAGTTGTAACAATGAAGAACTCATCTTGCTCGGAACAATTTCAGTGGTCAATCCCAGATAGTTTCAAGAATTTTGAGAGCCTTTCTTATCTTTCTCTTTCCAACTCCAGCATTTTTAATATTTCGTCTGCTCTTCAAATCCTGCAGCAATGCAGAAACCTGACTACTTTGGTTCTCACCTTGAATTTTCGTGATGAAGAATTGCCTTCTGATCCTGGTCTGCATTTTGAGAAGTTGAAGGTCCTTGTTATTGCTAGCTGTGGACTTAGAGGTTCAATACCTCAATGGTTGAGCCGTAGCAGCAATCTGCAGTTGTTGGATTTATCCTGGAACCGCTTGGAAGGAGCTATTCCTACTTGGTTTGGCAACTATTCCTTTCTTTTTTACTTGGACTTGTCAAACAATTCCTTCAGTGGAGAAATCCCAAAAAGCCTTACTGGATTACCAAGCCTTATTGATAGAAGTATCTTACTAGAGGAGCCTTCCCCTGATTTTCCCTTTTTCATGAAGAGGAATGAAACAAGAGGGCTGCAGTATAATCAAGTTTGGAGCTTCCCACCAACACTTGATCTTAGTCATAACTCACTTACTGGGTCCATCTGGAGTGAATTTGGAAATCTGAAACAGCTCCATGTTTTTGATTTGAAGAACAATCAACTGTCTGGACCAATTCCAAGCACTCTGTCTGGAATGATAAGCTTGGAAATTCTTGATTTGTCCCATAATTATCTTTCAGGGACCATACCCTCTTCTTTGGAAAAACTGAGCTTTCTGTCAAAGTTTAGTGTGGCCTACAATAAGCTCTACGGTTTGATCCCTTCTGGAGGTCAGTTTCCTACATTCCCAAATTCAGGTTTTGAAGGGAATGATCTTTGTGGTGATCATCGGTTCCCTTGCCAGGAAACTAGTACTAAAGTTCCTTATGGATCAGGTGAAAAATCAAGGAGGAGAAACATTTTTGTTTGGATGGCTGTTGGGGTTGTGCTTGGAACAGCTTTTCTTCTTGCCCTCTTGTTCATGATTGTTTTACGGGCACATAGCCGAGGGGAGGTTGATCCAGAAAGAGATTTTGATGGAAATGAAAAAGATTTGGAAGAACTTGGATCAAGATTAGTGGTTCTGTTTCAGAACAAGGAGGATAACAAAGATCTCTCTTTTGACGACCTTCTAAAATCCACTAACAATTTTGACCAAGCAAATATCATTGGTTGTGGGGGTTTTGGTCTAGTTTACAAAGCTACCCTCCCAGATTCTAGGAAGGTAGCAATTAAACGACTCTCCGGTGACTGTGGTCAGATGGACAGAGAATTTCGTGCTGAAGTTGAAGCCCTCTCAAGAGCGCAGCATCCAAATCTTGTGCTCCTTCAAGGATACTGCATGCATAAAAATGACAGGCTCCTGATATATTCTTACATGGAAAATGGTAGCTTGGATTATTGGTTGCACGAGAAAATTGATGGACTGTCATCTCTAGATTGGAATACTAGGATTCAAATTGCTATAGGAGCAGCAAGAGGACTGGCATATTTGCACCAATCATGTGAACCTCATATCCTTCATCGGGACATAAAGTCAAGTAATATCCTTTTAGATGAGAATTTTGAAGCCCATTTAGCTGATTTTGGTCTTGCAAGGCTAATACTTCCATATGATACCCATGTGACAACTGATCTTGTTGGAACACTTGGTTATATCCCTCCAGAGTATGGACAAGCTTCTGTTGCTACTTATAAGGGGGATGTATATAGTTTTGGTGTTGTCCTTTTGGAGCTTCTTACTGGGAAAAGGCCCATGGATATGTGCAAGCCAAAAGGGTCACGGGATCTGATCTCCTGGGCGATTCAGATGAAGAAGGAAAACAGGGAAAATGAGGTATTTGATCCATTCATTTATGACAAACAGCATGATAAGGAAATGTGTCTGGTTCTTCAGATTGCATGTATCTGCTTAAGTGAATGCCCTAAAGTGAGACCAACAACTCAGCAGCTAGTTTCTTGGCTTGACAACATTGAGACAACGTCTAGCATTCTTATTATGTAGCTGTGAGAAACTGGGGTTGTACAGGTATAGAAAGTTCTTTACAAACATTGTGGCAGATAGTTCATAGCCATCCCTATTTTTGTGTATGGAATCGCGATCTTATTGTAAATAAACACCGATATACTTGTTCTTGGTGCTCTCTTTACCGAGAGTACAGGGATCTAACCAAAATGCTACAAAACCAGTTGCCAAAACAATGTAAGTCCTTTCATCGCCAATTAGTTCTTTTGTTAATTTTGATTCTCAATCATGTATAATAATATTTCTGATTTTTTTTGTTATGAAGGTTGAACATAGTGGAAACAGAATTACAAGTTTTACTTCAATAATATCTGAGGTTGATATCCTGGATAGATGCTTTAGATGCCTTTAGTTGCAGTTGAAGCCTGGGATATGATCCTTAAGCTACTTTCATTTTTTTTCTCAACCATCCATTTTGCTTCTCATGTTGCAGAAACTAGCCAGATTTATATGTATGCTTCATTGCTTCTTTGTAGAATTAGGAGACAAGTGCATGTATAGGTTTCTGTCTTATAATTGAAAATTTTTGGATAGACGGAAACAAGCAATGAAATTGCTAATAGTATAAACAGTAAATCTTATTATTTTTTTCTGTAATTTAAACTTCTAAAGTAATTGACCATTAAATTGATTTAAACTCCATTAGGCCCATTTTTAAAAGTTCAAACTGTGAGAAGGAAGCTTCCTTCAGGGGAAGAAAAGTAAACAAAAACCATGAAAATGAAGTTTCATTTGCCAGAATATTCTTTTTTATTCTCTGAGCGAGAAGGTTTTATTGGATTCTACTGTTGAATGTTAAAACGTCGTCGGTTAGATAATTAGATCAACCGATCCTGTGGGAGTTGTCTGGTCAAAATATAAATCTGTGTTGGATCAAATGGTTTATAATTCTTGGTCATTAAAGTTGTTATTACAGACTGGAGAATTCTCTCCAAGTTTTTCAGGACGGCCTACCGACTTGGTTATATTCTTTTCCACCAACCTCAATTTTGTGTTTTTTATACCATTTTAGAACTTTGACCATTTTTTTTTTTTTTTTTGGGTCAACAACTTGAAAATCAACCCAGGTACATCTAATATAATCAAGTATCGTGTGCATATATATATATATATATATATATATATATATGTATATGAACAGATGGCGGTTCAACCCGCTTAGCAAAAATAAGGGAAAAAAATTAAAGAACAAAAATGGCTGGTCAACTTGTGCTGGTTTACCCACGGCGTCGTTGAATGTCTTTTTCCTTTTGTCTCATTCCTTGTGAAATCAAGAAGCATGAGGTTTAAAAAACATAATGCAAAAGTCAATAATTAATTAACAATAAGAATAAGTTGGTGCATGTGAATGTTTAAGCTTGTGTTTATTTATATGAAATTTATACTTATTTATCTTATAAAATCATAAAAATTATCTTTGAATTGATGAACATTAAGTTAAATTTAATAAATATGAGCTCAATCTTTATTATCATTTAATATAATTTTATATTTTTAAATTAAAATGAATATAAATTTTAAAAGTATATTCAAATTATGAATTTATTCTAGATGTAGTCTAAAGTTTAGTTAATGGGCTTTTGTTTTTGTTTTTGTTTTTTAAAAAATAATTAATCAGTTTAGTTTTTAAATAGTAAATTTATATTATTTTATTATTATATTGATAAAACTGTAATAATTAAATTAATTTTTATTAAAATGAATTATTACGATTTTAACAAAATTAATATTATCTAACGAATTTAGATAGCAATAAAAGAGTTAATATTCGATATACCGTTTTAACGGGAAAAAAAAAACAAAGGAAGGTGAAGAGAGCACTAACACTTTCAAAACAAAATAGGCATAATCAACTTCTTCACTGCAAACAAACAAAGCAATCTGGGCCATTCTATGCTCCCTCATCAATTATTTCATTCAAGACTTTCCCAAAATAGAAATATTCTTCTATTCATTCTACTTCCCTAATACTAAGTTTCAGCATTATTCTCTTTGTCAAATACTTATATATATATATACACATATATGTATAGATCAATAGTGGGTTTTCTTTTCTCGTAAAGCAGAAGCATTAAGCATATAAATAATCTCAACCTAATCCTTCATTCACAAGGCATCATTTGAGGTTAATAATGAATTTGACAATTGATTTACATTGTTCTGCAAATCACTCTTTACTACCCAACCCAAATTCCTTTCTTGGAATTATTTCTTCATTGAATCATGATTGTTTTATTCTTTTTGTAGACCTGTAATTTCTCCACAGAAATTTCCTGGGTCTTTCTTGATTTTCTATAACCCTTAATGGCTGTGTTGAATCTTTGCACAACCAAATTGAGTGGTGGACTGATTATCTTGCCAACCAACATGTTGGGCATCAATTACCAATACCCACCTTTTCATTATCATATATTATATACATTATGCCTCTATCATCATAAATCTATATATATATATATGTATATTATGATTCATATTCAAGATGATGGATAGAGATTGATCCTCTTTCATAATTAAAGTGCTCACATGGAGCTTCCCTAGCCTTTGAAAAAACTAACCGAAAGCTAAGAGACTTTGATGCTCTTGAAAGTGCCACAGTTGAATAATTGCCAAGATTTATAAGTATCCAAGAGAAGATAGAGATTGGTAATATAATACTAACAATATATAAAGTCAAGTTTAGAAACAAATAAAATAATAACAAAATCATGATTTGAAAAAGCAAGTTTTTGAGAATTCAACGATCAGAGAGAGAGAGAGAGATAGAACTATACATACATATATATGTACAGACACACGCATATGCTTGAAAAAGTAGGTGAGTCATAAAAACCCAAATGAAGATTTTCCAAAATAAATTTGGACATCCGACATTGAAAAGTTGTGTGGAATCGCACTAAGAAATTTCATGGGCCACTACATTCAATTGCATAAGCAATAAAATTTTATAAAAGAATATAAAGAAGAGAAAGCTAACCTTTAAAATTAAAACAATGGCATATTTTGTGATGTACCCAACGTATATTTAATACACAAATGACCTGTTTTCATTGTTTCTTTAAGGGATCCACAATTACCCAGAAATAAAAAATTCATTCTTTGAGTAGGATGTAGCTAGTGCATCACCCACAAAGGCAAATAGAAGGTAGTTGAAAATCTTCCTATTAATCACAGGATTAGATTGTGATACAGAGCCATCTCCCACTTCATGAATCCACTAGAGGTTTCAATAATGCTATAATCCAATCCAAGCTCATCCAACATTAAAAAAATGTTAAGCTTGCAAAGTCATGATTTTTCAAAGTTCAATTTTCCCTGCAGAAAAAAACTTTTGAACTTTAGATTAGATTAAACTGCCTTCTAAAAGCTAAAAAGAAAAAGAAAAGACTAGCAACCCAGTTATTAGAAAGATAACTTGAAAAAGAAGGTTCTTACTAGTAGTAGTAGGTCAGCTCTGCATCTCTGCAGCAATTGAGAAATATTTGAATGAAAACTGCATGCAAGATACATCTGAATGACTACAAAATCTGTCTAGTAATCAAGATCATCATGCTTGTGATAGATTTAACTGAAAAGAAAGGAACACATACCATAAAACATGAAATGTGCAAAGCTATTCAGCTCCCTATATTCATTCCATCTGTGGAAAAGTCATTAACTGGACTTGCGTGCCCAAATTGATGCATAAAAACCTTTTTCTTTTTAATTTTTGCTCTTTCATGCTTATTGATGATTGACTAAACAGTATACACCTCTTGATGCATGTACACATATGCATGTGTACGCATTTATTACGGTACATATCTATTTCCAGAAAAAAAAAACCCTGCAAACTCAAACAATTGCATCTTTCTTCGATGAATTTTCAGCAATCTTACAAACAATGATCATATGATAAAACATCATAACATGATGAGATCTTCGAATAAAGGGAATGCTTCTGTCCACAGAAAACTCTACTTAATATCAAGCATTGGATGCCACGTTATCTTCCATTTCATGCACAACATCACTCTCTTAGAGATTATCTGGAGGACCATTTCCAAACAACATATCAGTGGCTTAATCTGATTCAAGGGATTCTACTCATCATCTGATAGAGACCAACTGAGAATATCTATATTTTTCTTTATGCTTAGGTTTCAGACTATAGGGTAGAACACTCAGAATGACCTTTAGCATGTCAAAGTACACAAACATATACATAAGCACTCTTCTATAAGCAAATGTCTAATAGAAGATACAAACCTGTAATGTAAAAGCCTGGTTAGAACTGAAACCTGGCAAGATCATATTGACTGCCCAAACTATGCATATGTTTTGCGTCCCAAATGTGTTTTGATTAAATTCTATTCAACAGAAAAAGCAGAATGCCTTTTAATTGAATTTTCAAAAAAATCTTGCTTTGAAGCATAAAAAGATTCAAGCTTGTTAGATTCTTATCCAAAAGAATATGTCTGACAGAATATTAGGCAGCACCAAGCTACCAAATCTTAAAGCAGAATTAACTTTGATATCATGTTAGATTTTCATACTTGGTCGATATCGGGTCATCTTTCTCTCGGCAGAGACTACATAAAATTTAAATCCCCATTTGACTCAAGTTTTAGTTTGTATGTTCATCTTTGAAACGCTTAGACCCCCACCTGAATTTTCTGGGGCAGATTTGAATTACGGAAAAAGGTGGAAGTAGTTCAAAGGTGGAAGTATTTTTTCTGATCATTCTTTAATTTCAACTTTCTTGTACAATTAAATGGCTTCCCATATTTATAATATTTTTATCTCTAACTATTTTAGTGATGAAAAGTTAGCCTTCCACTCCATACTGATTTTTGAAAATGGAAGAACAGCTGTGCTTGTGATTATGGCATGATAACTAATATTCAAAGAGAGAAATTCCGGTATCTTTTTTTATTAAAAAAAAAAAAAAGTGATTCATGGATTTTTAGGGTTACATTGTCCTGTCTCTAGGTTGGGAATCTATGGATCAGTTGAGTAAAAATTTTATCTCTTCAGTTTCTAGTGCTATATAAACTTTGATGTTGTGTTGTGCAGGTTGGATCCAGTAATATGGTACATTACCCATCCAATATGCAGTAGAATCTTTTTTAAAGATCACGATTTGCAAAAAGATTGAGGCAGCCTCAAGTGATTTGTATTTATCCAAGCATGCATAAATAAGAAAAGGTCTTTAAGGCTCATGCATTTAGCATTTTCAGAATCAGTGATCTCTAGTTTCAGACTGATGTATTTTATGAAAAGGTCATTCTCTTCTTTATGGAGAGGATCCTCAGAACTTTCTCGACTTTTTGGCTAATTCTTTCTTGCATTTTCTTTTTCTCTTGCTAGTACAGATGGGGCACCCCTTGATGCCCTTGGTTATAATGCTCCATTTCCTTCTAAAAGAACAATAAAAAAAAAGAACAGAGATCCAGGTTTTATGCAAAGAACAGGAAATCAATGACTTCTACTACATCAATATCATAATCTATAATACACTTTAAAATAATGAGTCCAAGAATATCAACATTTCAAACTAAATAAGATAGCTGTTAGACATCCACACGACCTATGAT